TGAGATGAGCATGAGCACTCTTCCTCCCAGATCCTGTGAGAAGCTGTTTCCAGACTCACTGAACCCTCACAGGAATCCCACCACGTGTTACCCCTATTTTGACAGATGGGTAAAGTTAGGGAAGTGGCACATAGTCACCCAGCTTGTAAGGGACACAGCAAGGATTCAAATCCAGCCTTTTGGGAATCTACCAGATTCGGTTCAAATCACAGCCCTACCATTATTAGTTGTGTCTTTGGACAAGTCACTTCCCCTCTCAGGGCTCTAGGCTTTTCATCTGTAAACAGACTCCTAACGCTGATGTCTCTAAAGTGCTTAACGCAGTGTGTGACACAACAGTGGGTGCTGTGTTGGTTACTATTATTATCCAGCCCTATCAGCTCAGTGGGTACCAGGCATTCAGAGAGACAAAGAGATGGACATAGGAGGAGGCAGCCAGACTCACCCACACTAACTCTCATGTCCTGGCACTGCCTGTGTGGAGATGACAAACGTGCATACACGTAAGTGCCTGGCCACAAGCCCTAGGAAAACCCAGCAGTGCACACAGGCTTGGACACGTGTGCCCACACGTGGATACAGTGACCCAGGGGACAGCTGGAAAGATACCCGGGAGTTAGTCCTATGCAGCAAGCACGCTGGCTCACACCTCTGAGACAAAGGAGTGGGGCCATGGTCGCTGGTGCAGCTGCCACCGAGTCCTTCTAGCTGCTTCTGCATGCCAGAGAAGGGAAGCCAGGCTCTCAGAGGGCCCCAGTGAGTCACCGGCCTGATGCAATCCCTTTAAAGGGCTCATCTGCTGGTGCAAGAAGCTGATTCATGGAGGGCGTGGTTGCTGGAGGAGGAGGAGAAAGGCACCGAAACTGCAGCAGGAGAGACTGAGGTCAGATGGCTGGAATCGTTCATAGGAACACTTCACTGTAACCCTCCCAAGTCAAGACTCCAGGGATCTTCAGGTTGAAGCGGGGTTTCTACAAAAGCGAGGGGCCCAGAGGGAAATGAATTGTGAGGGCTGCGACAGGAATTCTGTCATTTATTGAGCCTAATCGCAGCGCTCTCCGCATAGAGCTCCAGAAACCGAGAAATGGGGATCAAAGAAGAGCCATTTTTCTGATCAATACACTACAACCCATCTTCCAACCGCTGGAGACTTCTCCAAACCCGGCAGGGCGAGCTTAGGGCACGACAGGTTCTGCGCAGCCGGGGCGGGGATGGTGCGTCCGGCCCAGCCTCACCGGAGACATAGATCAGCGGTAAGTACCGCCCCTTTAGCGTCTCAGCCTCCAATCGTTTCACAGGTTTCGGCCCAGACCCCGCCCTGAACCAATCACCCATCGGATTCTGGCCACTTGCCTGAAGGCTTCCGCCCATCGTCAAGATGGCTCCCCAGTCCCCTCGCCTTGGGGCCGCGGGCGAGGGGCGGGGCCCGGGGAGAGGGGCGGGGCTGCGGCGCTTCCCGAGAGGAGGGGGCGGTGCGTCACTTCCGTTGTCAGGTGGCGGCGCTGCAGCCATGGAGGGAGGCGGCGGCGGCGGCGGTGGCGGCTCGGGTAGCTGTGCTGGGAGGCGGCGGTGAGCGGCTCCCACGCCCCCGGCCCGGCCCCGGCCCCCCGGGACGGAGCGCCGAGCAGCCCCGTCTCCGGGCTACGGACTATGGGCGAGCAGCGCTGAGCCCCGGGGGAAGGTGAGGGCGGGGGTCCCGGAGCGGGGAGCCCGGCGGGGGGTGCGGGCTGGCGGGGCGGGCCTCAGCGGCCGCGGCGGTGGGACCGGGGTGACAGCCCGAGGCCGTCCGGGTGCGGCAGAAATGGCAACAGCGGATGCCCTGTCCTCTGCTGGGGTCTGCCCTTCCTGGGCAGCGGGGGCGGGGGCCGCTGCGGGCCGGGTCCCGGGCGGCCACTGGGAGCCTCGGTCCCCCCGCAGCTCTGGGAGGGGGCCACTGCCAGCCTTGCCCGGAGTCCCTCGGCCAGTGAGTGAAGGCACCGGCGTTAGAACCAGCCAGGTTTTTCTCCGGAGACAGTCTCCTCCGCTCCATGCTTCCCTCCGGATCCCGAGAGTGACTTGAAAGTTAGAACGAGACCCCAGGGAGGGCCAGCCGGGGCGTCCTCCGGGAACCCTCACCCGTTGGCACGGGCATCATGGCTGCTGGGGAATTTTCGCATCCCGGGCGGCGTTCAGGTGCAGGTCAGAGATGCCTGCTTGCCATGCTCCGTTCGGCCGGCCTTTTCCAAGGGGAGAGCCTGCTGCTGTGGTCAGTGTTTCACATGCTCTGCCCCGTCAGGCCCGCCCATTCCCACGCCACTTGGCCCCACCTTCCAGGGAGTGGGAAGGGGCATTGAGATTCCCGACACCCTATTTTTTTCTGTTCACCCCCACTCCCTAGGATGCCTGTTTCTTGGCGGAAGGAAGAGATGACAGCCGCCTTCGGTGGCAGGATAGACTTTGCTCTGTTTTAAGTCATAGGAGGAAACTGGTTGGCTTTGCTTGGTTTTGAGAGCTGTGGGGAAGAGGGTAGTCACTCTGGGCTGGGCACCGTTTCCCTCTTGGCTTAGCTTTGCATGAGATAAGGAAGAGCAGCATATGTAATTGTAAAGCCAAAAGAATCTTTGTTTGTAAACAGTGCTTGTGAGCTGCTTCAGCCCTCCTTAATGGCCCTGCTCTGCCAGTTTGTGGGTTAGATCTAGACAGTCTGGAGATAGTCTTCATTCATTCATTCCCCACATGACAGTAGTGTCCTTGCCTGGAGAGGCAAGGACCCCATATTATAGTGGTTAAGAGTGGGCTTTGGAGCCAGACTTCCTGAGTTCAAATTCTGGCTCCGCAGCTTTCTAGCCGTGTAACCTCGGGCACGTTGTTTAACCTCTCTGTACTTCAGTGTTCTCATCTATAAAACAGGGGTGATAACATAGAGCTGTTATGAAGATTCGAAAAGTTAACACATGTAAAACACCTAGAACCACATTTGCCACATAAGAAGAGTTCAATAAATGTTAGCTATTATTCTTATTTCAAGAAGCTCATGGTCTGGTTAAGGGAGACTGACCTGTAAACAAATAGTGGAAATGTGGTCCAAAAAAGCTGGTAGCAGCAGGAATAGAGGGCTATGGGAGCCTAGCAGAGGAAGCTGCTAGCTCAGCCTGGGTGGGAGAAGGGTCCTGGGAAGGCTTGGCAGGAGCGATGATGAGCTGCATCAAGAAGGTTGGGAAGGCTTAGCCAGGTGAGAATGAGGGGACAAGGTGTTCTACTTAGAGAGAGACAAGTAAACTCATAGTTCATTGCAGAAACCTCGCATTGTTCAATATGATGGTATGAAAGTTGCCATGATGAGAGGTAAGGCAGTATAGGTTGACAAGGGAATGCCACATTAAGAATTTGGGACTTTATGCCAAAGGCAGTGGGGAGCCAGTGAAAAGGATTTAAGCAGAGAAGTGACATGATTGGATCTATGTTTTAGAATTCTCTTCCTGGGGTCCCGGCAGAGGAGAGGAGAGACTAAAGGACTGGAGACCTCTTCAGAGACTGTTACAGGCTCCTGAGAGAGGAGAGTTGGTGCCGGGGTGGTGGATCTCTGCTCGGAACGCACCGTGTGCAACTGGTGGCAGGTGACGAGCTCCCTGCATTGCCCTGGGCTTCTCTGCCTAGCACAGAAGTGCCTGGTGCATGTGCCCGTCTCTTCCTGGGATTGCGGGTGCTTGAGCAGCTGGGGAGGGGAGGCTGCCCTCTGAGAAGGCCAGTTGTTGCGGGCGGGGAGTCTGCACTTGCTCCCTTGGGCCTTTAGTTTGACCTTTTGGGAAGGTGGCAGGTTGTAGTGGTTAAGAGCCTATATGGCTCTGCAGTCAGACAGATCTGGGTTCTAATCCCAGCCCTGCCAGTCACTAGAAGTTACTTATTCTCTCCATGCCCAGTCTTCTCATCTGTAAAATGGGGACAGTAAGAGCCCCTCTCTAGTAAGTTAGTTGTGAAGATTAAGTAAGATATTCCAGGTTGAGCATTTAGCACACACTGAGTAAGAAATGCTTGGTAAGTGTTAGCTGTTATTACAGGCTGCAGGAAAGAACTTCCAAGAATTAGCTGAAGCCATTAGTGGCAACTAGAACTGTCCCATTGAGCTGTCAGAAGTGTCTTGAGGGATCACAAGATCACAGAATTTTATTGTATTCTTTCTGAAAAAGAAATCTGTGGGGAGTTTACCCAGTCTGTATGGGAGCCATGCAGATGATTCAGCTTGGCTCTTTAAAAGAACCATTTTTTAAAATAGAAGTAGGACTGCTGAGCAAAAAATCGTATTTTAAAGTATCCATGGGAGAAAAAGTATTTAGAGTTTCTTCTGTGTGTGTCCCTATTAGTGACCCTAGTCTGGTACCTGATGTAGTATCATCAAGAAGCATCACACACAGTGATGTGTGTGGTGGTTCAAAATCCAGAACCCCAGTTCCACACACATGAGCTCCCATGTGTGGCTGGGTATGTGCTGGGTACTGGGGGCAGAAGGAGAATGGAGAGGCAGGCCCTGCCCTGGAGGAGCTTGTGGTCTAGCAGGGACTGGGCAGGCTCCTAACCAATTAAAACTTGCATAGAATTTGGCAAGTCTGTCACAGTAGTCTGTACAGCATGTAGTGGGAACTGGGAGGAAGCAGTGATTCCCCTGGGGAGGAAGAAGAGATTGGATAGAACTTGGGAGAGCCCATGGTGCTTAAACTGGATCTTGAAGGCTGAATAGAGCTTTCTTTTTTCTTTTTCTTTTTTTCTTTCTTTCTTTTTTTTTTTTTTTGGTGAGGAAGACTGGCCCTGAGCTAACATCTGTTGCCAATCCCCCTCTTTTTTCTTGAGGAAGATTGTCGCTGAGCTAACATCTGTGCCAGTCCTCCTCTACTTTATATGTGGGATGCTGCCACAGTATGGCTTGATGAGCCGTGTGTAGGTCAGCACCCAGGATCCAAACCTGCGAACCCCAGGCCGCCAAAGTGGAGCACGCAAACTTAACCACTGGGCGGGCCCTGAATAGAGCTTTCTGAAGGCTCATGAAGCACTCCAGGCAGGGGAGCAGCATGGCACAGGCATGAATGTGTACTTGAGGAACTACTGGAGGTTCTAGCACAAGGTGTGAAGGGATCTGGCTATAGGACATGCTGGAGAGGTAGGCACCAGTGCCAAAATGCTTGAACTTCTTATTCTGTTGGTGATGGGATGCTTTGTTTTAAGTGAAGGAAATACCATTAGACCAGCATCTTCCCAAGAGCCCTCCTGCTGCGGGTGGAGGATGGACTTGGGAGAGAGTGTGGAGTCACCGTAGAAGGCTGTTGCAATAATCAAAGCAAGGGTGAGTGGGGGCCTGGATCAGGGCAGAGGCAGTGGGGAGGGAGAGGAAGGGCAGAGATCAGAGCTGTTTGGGGGGAAATCAACTGGACCCTGGGAGTGTTTGGAAGTGATGGTTGAGGGAGGAACAACGGTGGCAGGTGACCCTGAGGGTCCTGGTTTGGATGACAGAGTGAATGATAGTGCAGAAGAGACTGGAGACAATGGCCAGTGAAATCCGCCAGCTCCATTCAGTCAGCCCTGAGCGCATGCTCCCGGGAGAGGATCAGTTGCAAAATCTGGGCCCCCTGTCCAGCTTTGAGCCGGGCTTCCCCCTGGTTTTGCCTGAGTCAGCACCTGGGAGAAGGGCCGCTTCCCTTCCTTCACCTTTCCTATGCCCAGATTTGCCCAGGGAGATGAACTTCTTCAATGTTTCAGAAACTCAAGTGGCTGAGTCTGCAAAACTCCTATAATTTTTTCAGCCTTCAAATGGCCCTGAAGAGCAGCCCTTCAGTCTGGCGCTATCCGCACTGATTCAGCAAGTGACCACCTGATGGAGTCGTGGACAGCACCTCACCCTCAGGGGAGAGGTGGCTTTCCCAGTGCTCCCTGGAGATCTCATCTAGAAAGACTTTGAGATGGGATTTACTCTGGAGGCTGGGTCAGCCGACTCAGTCCCGCTTCTTAGGAAGGAGAGGTGTCTGGAAGGAGAGGTGTCTAACGGAGGCCGCCTGGGACTCCCTCAGAGCCATCAGAGAGGAGAGAGGGAGCTGCCCTGGGGCCCTTATCCCCCTGAGATGCAGGGAGTGCGGAGCCAGACGTGCACCTGAGGGGACTGTGGAGAGGGATGTGCTGGTGGCCGGGGCTTCAAATAGGCCCTTTGGCATTAGGGAGATTCTCACAGGGTGTGTCCTTGCATTTGTGGTGTAAAGAAGGTGGAAGAGAAAGTGGCCTGAGACAAGAACATTTCTTCCTCCTCCACCTGCTCAGGTGAGACCGTGGCCTTGAAGGTGGCCCCAGGCCCACAGCAGCCCTGCATATCCTCTTGGGATCTGTATTCAAGATCCAGAGGGGAAAGGATGATGTTACTTGCTTTGATTTACTTACCATCTTAGAGCTGGTTCCACTTTGGCACATGCGCGTCTGGGTCACTTTTGGCTACATTGTGTCATCGCCAGGTGTGTAATTGATCCAACAAGCTCCCTAGCCATAAACGTAGGTTAGTTTCTGTCTTCTGCTCTCCAAACAAAGCTGAAGTGACTCTGCATACATATGATTTTGCCTACCTTAGGTATTTGTAGGATAAATTGCTAGAGGACCATTGCTGCTTCAAAAAGTACTTTTATTTATTTATTTTTAAAGAATTTCTAGGCCCCCTTTTAATAGACTGGAGCAGCTTAATTTTCCCCCAGCAAGCAAAGGTACTCTTCTGGGTCGAGGTTCCCCTTCCTGAGGGGGCACTGAGAACCCCTCTCCCTGGAGAGGCCACAAGTGGTCATCCTCTTCTGGCTGATGGCAGCCTGTCTTGGAGGTGAGTTTAGACCCCCCAGTATAGCAGTGCACAGGCCTGTGATTTCAAAGGTACTCTAGTTGTTAGCAAGCACAGAGGTTGCAAAACTGAGAAGGGATCTTGTCATTCAGAATGAAGCTGTCCCGTCTGAATGTGTTTACAGACCGCCACCTGCTTAGCAAAAGAGATAGAGGATCTTTAGCCTTTAGGGAGTCTGTGATCCCAGGGACCAGAAGGAAGAGAAAGTGGCCTGGACGTTGTAGTGGGAATTGGCAAGAGCCGGCCTGGCGTGCGTGTCACTGTCTTTGGGTTGAGGAAAGCTGGGTTAAGGTGTGATAAGGGAGCAGCAGGTGCTTCTAGGAAGAGGCTCGAGTCATCCCCTTGGGACACTTTGGGGCTGGTGTAGCCCAAAATTCTGGGGGACTTTTGGAACCTCACTGCTGGCACCCGCCAACTCTGGAGAGCAAGTCTTGCTCCTTTTTGCAGTAGATACGGAGCTCCTGGTGTTACCATGTTTGGGGTGAGTTCCATGGGGTGTGTTCTCTTTAGACTCTTCTCCCAAGGTGGTCCCTCCTGAAGGAATTGGAAGGAAACCAGCCAAAAAAGAAGGATCCCCACCACCTTCCAGGTTCTTTGCTAAGTCCTCTGCAATACATATTGAATCCTTCTCGCAGTCAAAGGAAGGAGAGTTGTCTCTGTTTCACAGAGAAGCCCTAGGCACACAGGGGTTAAGTGACCTGTCCACTGTTACACAGCCAGCAAGGGCAGAGCTGGATTTCCAGCCCACGCTTGTGTGACTTGAGAGCCCATGCCATCCCGTTCCTCCATCCTGGCCAGGCTCTGGCCCCAGGGAGCCCAGCCCACATGGAATCTTGGACTCATAGAGCCATAGAGCAGGAAGGGACCTTGACAAAGCTGAAGCAGTCCTTTCTTTGCCAGAAGAATGGAAACTGCCACTGCCTGAGACAAATCCCCCCACTCCTGCCCTGTGAGTAGTGGGTAAGGAGACTTTCAGCCGTGTCACCCAGCAGTTAAGGGCCCAGGCTCAGATCAGACCTGGCTTCAGAACCCAGTTCTGCCACTTGCTAGCTGAGTGGCCTTGAACAAGTTCCTTCCTATCTCCAACCCCAGTGTCCTCCTCTATAAACTGGACACGACCTTCCTTGCTCCTGAGATAGCAATGAGGATTAGACATGAGGTGTTATTGTCTATACGCCTAGTGCCTGGCTGGCAGTCAGGACCCAGGGGCCGGCTCTGGTGAGGCCCAGGTGAGCTCTTTGCTGGCGGGTCTGTGATTGTCCCAAAAGCAGCACCACAATCCATCTTCAGGTCTCCAGTTTGAATGGTTTGGTGGTCCTCTCAGCCCTTATGGATGCCAGGTAGCGAGCAGGAAGTTCCTTATAGGCATGTTTGCAAGTTACCTGGGAGAACTTAAGTGTACTGGGAGTGATGGTTGTGTCCCTCCCCGCCGTGCAGCCTTGCGTCAGCACACAGGCTCGTACATTCGGGGCACGTACGCTCACTCACGTGTTCCTGTGCCGTACGCCCTCAAGTGTGCCTTCTCTGAGGCTCAGCCTTCCCCAGTTCCATTACCTCTCCTAACAATTGTAATGGGTTCAGAAAATTTTTAGGTTTTTAAAAATTATTATAGTAGTCTATGGTAAAATAGTTAAATATGGAAGAATAGAAAACAAAACTCTCCCTCCCCTCTTTGGGCCCCTAGTTCTACTATCTGGAGGTATCTACTGTTAAGTTTCTTCTAGAAATTTCCTATGCATATTCAATGATGTGTACAATCTTTTTTTTTTTACCCAAATGGATCATATTATACAAATAGTACTACAGTTTGCGTTTTTCTAATGTAATGTATCCTAGACATCTTCATCAGCAGGTGTGGACCTCGTCTTAAAGACTGCATAGCACTCCATTGTCTGGATGGAACCAGTCCTCTCTTGGTGGACATTTGAATTGTTTCCTGTCTGGGGCATGTGTGTGTGTGTGTCTGTGTGTGCGCGTGTTGATTTTAGTGTGGTTTTGTCTTTTGTGATTTTTTGCTGCTACATGTGGTTCTACAGGGACCCTCGATCACATTTATCTCTGTGGATTTGTGAGAGTGTATCTGGAGGATAACTTCCTAGACCTGGAAGTGCTGGGCCCGAGGAATGTGCATTTTCTTTTACTTTGTTGGCTGTGGTTTCACGCATGTCATCTGCGCACCTGTCAGGCCTATCCCGGGGGTTCTGAGGTGGACAAGGTCCCAGGCCGTGCCCCCAGGAGCTCACCCTCTCTGGAGACACAGGCAAGCAGCTGAGCGATGAGCGTGCTCTCGCCGATGCGTGACAGTGTGCTGGCTGGTGGTGGCTCATGGCCCTTGGGGTTGGCCATGCCTGGCTTATCAGCGACTCAGAGCAGGGGAGGCCCTCGCGTGGGCCCACGAATCTGAACAGCCTGCTGGGGGCCACTCTGATGGCAGAGCCTGCTGTCTGCCTCTGTAATCTTGCCCCTCCAAGCAGCCACAGCCAGTAGCATTCAATAAAACTGCAGAAAGTGAACTGTACTGTTTATCGTCAAAGTTGTGAAATGTAATTGAATTTAATTTTTGATAGAGGCAGTTAAGGAAAGGCAGTTTGCTGGCCCCGGTCCAAATTGCCTTTCTCACAGGATGATTGTAGTGATTTTTGCTGTTAAAAACAGTTTAAAGAGAGAATTGCATGCACCTGGGCCTGGCCCGGGCTTTCCCATCTGTTGCTCTGGAAATCTGGGATGGAAGGAAGGAAACTTAACATTTGTCTAGTGCCTCCCACATGCTGACTCCCGGCAGTCCTCAGGGAACCCTGTGCGGGGGCAGCGCTGTTCCTCTCCTCTAGATGAGGAGACTGCAGAGCAGAGAAACACGTGTCCAGGTCATACTGTGGACACGAAGATGGCTCTCCGACTCAGCCAGCCCTGCTTTAGTCACTTGCTGCTTTCTCCTTGCCTGATCTGGGCCATGGTGGGTGGCAGGAACCTGAATTCCACATGGGACCCTGTGGCAGGCCTCGTTCCTGGGCTGAGTCACTGCACAAAGCAGTAACTGATGGTTTGAGCTGAGGGGTCCCCTACTCGTGCTCATGCCAGGGTCCCCCTAGTTGCAAGGAGGCTGGCATGACAGGGGATGGCTGTCAGTACTTTGTCTGCCATCACTGCCTATGGCAGAAGGCCCCCCGCAGACCCAAGGGGCCACCAAGAAGGTCTCCCAAGCCAGGGTGCTAGGGTGCTTCCCCAG